CGAGGATGACATGCGTGAGGCAGTGGGCAGACACGATAAGTTGTTGGCTTGACGCCGAAAGACAAATGAGCTGGCGGCCGGCCGTAGGAAGGTTGTTGATTAGCCTGAATTGGGGATGTGGAGGGACAGAGTGAGTTCGGCCTTGAGGGCTAGAAACACGGCAACAGAGGGACGAGCTGAACACGATAAGACGACCATTGACATTTTGATGGTTATACCGGTCGGCATTTTGCAACCCTCTGCATCCAAGGCGTAAAACTACATACAGAAAGCGACTCGACTCATCCAGATGCCTCCTTCAGTCCGGCGGTTCTTCTGACGGTTTGCCCATCTACTGTCTGTTTGTCTGTCTTTCTGCCGGCCTATCCGTATGTGCTTCTCTCTCCCTGGTTGTGTTTGTTTGTTTGTTTGTCAATTGGTTCGTTACTTGATCTGTTTGTCGGTGGCGCGGTTGTTTCTGAGCCGGGGTGATACCGCGTGGCCAAGTCTTCATGTAGACCTAGGCCATCTGCCATTTTGCCGGTTTTCTTGTACTGTCTATCTCTGTTGTGGGTGTGCCGGTCTGTCGTCATGGCTATACGCACTTGTTTGCCTGTCGTCCGGTCCGTCGGTTTGACTACGCCACCAGGAAGAAGGCCAGGACGGACTGCAGCCAGGGCATAGGCAGCACACATTCGATTTGTCCGTCCAGTCGCGTCTCAAATGCTGTCTCCATCCTGGGCATGGTCCACATGCAAGTGTATCCAGGCTCATGCGCTTCTCTCGCTCACTCGCTCTCGCCCTCTGAATGGGTGCATGTGAATGTGCTCCACGCAAAACTACACCACCAAACAGGAGGATGACCGACATGTACAATTCGCAGGATGCACTGACGCAGGCTACCTGACGAATCAACGTACAGCCTACATACATTCACGCTTACCACAAAAGCATGTAAACACACATCTCGGCATTTGCACATTTGCAAATAGACACACGCACTCAGCAAGACCGACGCCGGCGCATACAAAGATCCTCACTTGTGCAACTCACAGACACAATAAC